TTAGGGTTTAGAGTTTAGGGTCAAGGAAAGAAGCGAAGCCCCGAAGCTCCCGACGATCTCACTGCCCTAGTTGATAAGGAGAACCACGCGCAGACGCAGATGCAGACCTAGACCTAGACATAGACCTTTGCCTACAGGGTATACCTTTCACCACCCCTTTACCCATGCCTATGCCCAAACATGTATGTATTTTTGTGCCTATTCCGGTACCCATCCCTGTCTCTATCGTGTCATGGAAATTCCTTAAAGCACACTGCATCCTGCAATGTCAGGATGACCTTCAGCGTCGCGTCCGGGCCGAGTTCATGAGCAGCGACGAAGCGGATAGCGCGCTGACCATCGCGCCACAGGCAGCGGGTGGGAAACCCTAAACCCTAAACCCTAAACCCTAAACCGGGGGTTGGGGGGGTCGGGTGGGCATTAATCTTGAAACCGTGCGAAGTTCGTGTGGATGTCGGCCTTCAGCTTGACCTGCAGGGTGTATGTAGGCTTTCGGTACTGTATTCAGGATAGGACCGTAGGATTTTTGCTTTTGTTTGGGTTTGAGCTGTCTGGGCGGCCTTGTGGAGGGTCTTCGCTTTTGTTGTGGCCGACTGCATTCCCGATCAGGTTGCCAAGAGGATCCAGCAATTCAGAGGCTTTGCTGCATTTGTGGGTGCTAGGATTAGGGGGACCCTTGGGGATATAGATCCTCTCAATAAGGTCCCTTTTAAGAGAGCCAAAAGTAGGGTTCAGAAGGGGTACCCTTTAAGGGCGCCCCTAATAATACTACCTAATTTGGAGATCAAAGGCTAAAGCTTGAAGTGCTGACCTCGCTAAACGAAGACGCGGCCTAAGACTTCCCGATTGCAAGCATCGGGTTAGGCATGTTGGCTCGCAACGGTTTGCGATCTTTAAGTCCGGGCAGTTTGGAGTTTGGAGCATAGGCAAAGTGTTCTGCATGGGTGCCGGACATGCTAGATTCTGCTAGATGAGTTGTTCACCTGTGTTTTGGAAGCTGCAGTTGTGCCGGAAAGTCAGAGCCGGGTTCCCTCGAAACCCTGAACGCAGATACCTCAAGCCCCCCACCAGCCGGTCCCTCCAAAGTCTCTAAACTCACAAACTTCTAGACCCAAAGCCCCGTCGTTCCAAACCGCCGAGCCCCAAAGCCTGTACCCTAAACCCTAAACCCTAAACCCTTTGAGCCTATACCCTAAACCCTAAACCCCTAACCCCTAAACCCCTAAACCCCTAAACCCTAAACCCTAGAACTTAGTATGAGCCTATCACCTAAACCCCTTAACCCTTCCGACCTCGAGCCCCAACCGAGGGCGGGACCTGGCCCAGCGCAACCCCGAGTGGCTCGGTCCAGACATGATCGAGGAGGTCAAGTATACGGTGGTGACTCAGGATGAAGAGTTTAGGGTTTTTAGGGTTTAGGGTTTAGGGTTTAGGGGTTTAGGGTTTTGGGGTTTAGGGTTTTTAGGGTTTTTAGGGTTTAGGGGTTGAGGGGTTTAGGGGGTTTAGGGGTTTGGGGTTTAGGGTTTAGGGTTCGTGGTTATGGGGTGTCCGGGTTTCTCCAGGATTCTGCAGGTTTTTGGGGTTTCTACAGTGTTGTTTTTGCAGTTTATAGTTT